AACAAATATGATTGTTCTATTTAGCCTTGAAGCTCACTTCAAGTTCATCCGAATCCTTTGAAACCAGCAGAAGCAAAAAAAAAAAAAACTTTTCTGTTATATTTGCCTAAATTCTCTTTGGACGTTCACTATGAAGCCTAAAGAGTCCTTGAACAGAACCAGATAACAACTCTCTCTTCAAGTAGAGCCTGGCTGATAAATTGGTGTCTAAATCCCAATATTAAGGTCTCTGAGTTTTAAAAAAGAGGTTAAACAAACGGGTGGTGGCTTCACAAAAGGGGAGCGCAGGATGTCGAGGCCTAGCGTTCTGTCTGGGAGTGAGGTCACGGCGCAGCGTTCTCGGGGAGGTACATCTGCTATCTCTCTTCCTCCCTTTTTCTTTGTTAATCAGCCCGTATGCTTAACTGCTGAGTGCAGCGCTTTAGCCATATGCAATTAATCAGATGTTTCCTCGCGGAGACGAAACCAAAGAGACATTCAGCAGCGGGGCAGTGTGATTACACATCAAATGCAAGCCCTCCACCAATCCCACCGTCCCCATTTGTCTGCAGGAGATAGCAGGGAGCGCTGCCATTAACGCTGCTAAATGGCGCTGCTTCATTTTGATGGCAGCCAAAGATCTATTTTTCATTATGCAGAGTTCATTAAGCAGCAGGAACAGAGAGGGAGACGGAGAGCACTACAACAGGATCTTTAACAAGCACATTTGCTAATGCACTGTGCTTTAATTCAGTTTAGATGAGCATGTGCTTTGACGAGGTACGCCAAATTGCTCTTTTTGACTAAACAGAAATATTTATTGCTTATAGGCTGCTGCATGTATTTAAGTAGCTGCATTTATTTTACACTCTCCCAACAGCTGCAAAGGTAATAAATGTATATCACTCATTAAAAACTAGATTATTACACATATAACTTTATGTTAATTATGATGGATCTCAACCCAAATGTGCACTGTGGACATTAGATTTGATCTACACTAGTATTCAGATGACTTCTGCTTATCCAGGTACCATTTTTATTAAGCTGCGCCCCTGAATTTTATCATATTTAACTGGGATTTCATGTGTAAATCACACAAAAGTATGCTCTTATGATTTACACGAGCATACTTGTTGTATGCTCGTATAGAGTACCAACCACATTTATCGGCAAGCCTGGTAAAGATCTGTGAGAAGCTATAAAATAACAGCATGTTGTATTGCATAATTGTGAAATGGAAGGAAAAGAGGACATCATTTTTATGAATCATAAAAAAAATCTGAAAAGTATGTGGTTAAGTTGCCTGCAGCCTCCTGGAGCCCCCTTTACCCCGACAATGCTAAGAAAAGTCCAGTGCCATCAGACATTAGTCATATCATAGACAGTCCACTTGTGTGCAATTTAATTTCAGCACGTTCTCAAGAGGTTTGGTAAAGAATAAACAGCGTCATGAAGAGAGCAAGGTTGAACCAAAGTCACTGTTTGTGTCTGCAAACATGGCATGGCCAAGAACAATGACTCTCTTTTTGATTCTGATATTCTCAAACAAGAGCAAAATCGATCTTTTTGGAACGCGAGCAAAACAGTATGTGTGAAGGAAATAACAGCAACACACACATCCTCATCTACAGCCTGACATGGCATTGACAGCATCATATGTGAGGGAGTTATTCTTCAGCAGGAACTGTGAAGCTGGTCAGAGTGGAAGGGAAGATGAATAGAGGTAATTACAGAGTAATCCTGGTACATCTACAAAAGAAATGTGTATTACTCATTCACTTTTCATCATGAAAATGATCCTGAACATATAGAGCTAAGATGAGCTGGGTAGATCAAACCATAACCATGCATTAAAATGGCCCAGAAAAATTCTTCTATGAATCTGACAAAATTTGAAAATCAAAGTTCACAGATGCTCTCCAGCTAACCTCTATAAATTCAAACTGTTTTGCAAATCAGAACAGACAACAATGTCAATATGTGGATGTAAAATCTGGTTCTGGCTCATATCGACTTATTTGTATTCAAACAAATGAACACAGCACTCTTAAAAACTCTTAATCTTTTTCTTTTGCAAATATGGACAAAGCTAGAATGTGAAATTATTTTGAAGTACAAAAATGTTTGAGTTGTGAATACTTTTGTAAGGCTCAATCACACATCAGGTAGATGTAAACAGTCTAAAACTGTATTAGGAATGACTGCAAACAGTTCCTGTTAACAGTTAGGGAGACGCTAGTGAGCAGAACATATCCAATGGTAATGATGCACATTTGAAAAGGAAAAACTGTAGGAGCTGAAGGAGGCAGAAGTCTTTTGGAGCCAAACAACTGTCAGTGGGAATTGTGGAAGCCTTGTTATAGAAAGAAAAAATGTAAATCCTTTTTAAGAAATATAAATAATTATTTATGACAACATCAAATGCTGCATGGGAGCAATTTGCAGTAAATTTCCAAAGAAAAATAAAAAAGAAAAAGTTGGCAGGATCCATCTATGAGCAGCCAGCTGGTGCTGACCAGATGTTCTTCGGTTCAAGAGGTCTGTCCTGCCTGCAGCCATTATTCTATTTAATGAGGCTATTTCAAAGCCAGCACATCAGGATAAATAGGTAGTGTTGCAGTGCAGCACAAATTTAATGACCACAAACTTTTTTTTTTCTTTTTGTTTTTGCCTCTTCGGCATTTTCTTCTGCTTAACTTCTGCTAATCTGCCAATCGGTTCCTTGAAAATGAGCTGCATGAATCGGAGAGAGAACCCTGTGAAGACCAGCCCGAAGAAAGAACTTCTTGTGGTTTGATAATTAATGCAAAGACGTCAGTGGGAAGGAACCGTTTCAGCTGTCGCAGGCCAATTTACAGCATCAAAGCCAGGCTGAACATATTTGATGTCGACACCATTTGGAATTTAAAATCTGATGTGAAACCAATGTTGCGCCAAGTTTTGTAAAAAGAATTCTCTATTATCGTCCAAATTCATTAATATGGATAAAGGTTTGGTAAATAACAGAAAAATGTTTCATGGAAAGTGTGTTTTATAAGATTCAAAGGGACAGAGGACATATTTTTATGATTTTTGGTTCCAGGATGACTTTAAGATGCCCTTGCTTTGTTCTGCATATTATAAGGTAACAGACATTTTACAGACCAATTTTAAATCCTTCTGTGGTGCCATGACTCGGCCATTGTCCCAAGCCAACTATCAGCACTCACTCCAGCATCTCTCAAAGACTCCTCACCGTCCTATAAATAAAGTTCTCTTTCTATAATGAAGATTAAAGTGACATTTGAATGAGGAATGGCTGCACTCTGGAGCGTGGATGGCAATGAGCGAGACAAGCCAACACGTCTCTCAACAAACACAAGCTGTGCAGCATGAAGAAATACATCCTCAGTTTGGGCTTCCTCTGAAAGTGGCCAAAGTGTTACAGATGGTGGCCTGTCAGCCTCCACGCAGCAGCAGGTGAAACAGGCCAACAAAGTGAAACAGGACAGCATCCAAGGGTCACATCAGGAGGCACTTCAGACTCGGTTGATAATACCAATGAGAGGCAATAAACTGGGTAAATATTTTTGTCTCACCACGCCACACAACCAATTATCAGACGCCGCAATCTGCCACAGACACGTCGGCCAGATCAATACGACTGAGGTTTCTGCTCGTGTGGGAGAGATAACAAGCGTCTTAATGAGGCCAAACGCAGTTGAGCGTAAAGTAGCAGCCACACTTATTGGCAACCCTGGTAAAGATTTGTAAGAAAGACTTAAGATAACACCATCTTGTATTGCAGAAATATAATTTCACATCGGCATTGAAAGATAAAAGTTAGAATATATTCAAAGCAGTCTTTGACCATTCCTTTTTTGAAATTTTTTTTTTAAATCTCCAGATTCTTTTCTTCAGCTTTATGATGCGATTCAGGTCTGAGGACTGAGATGGGCATTTAAGCAGGTTGTTGCTGTGTCTGGTGAACCGTCTCTGTGTTGATTTGGTCTTACGCTTAGAGTGGTTACTTTGTTAAAAGATCTAATGACAAACTATTTTAGTTTGCTAGTAGAGTCCACTGGATTTAAAAGAAATGTTCTAGTATTTCAGAGTTAGTGATACCAGTCACTCTGTGCTTTTTGCAAGCTCTACATATTTCAGGTTTATGATAGTGCTCTATCACGGTTTCCATTTCCAACCTTGCCATGTTAAATACATAACCATTTTAATATGAACTATTGATTACTAGTCTGAGCAAACTAAGGAGAAAATGCTTCTTTCTCCTAAAATTGTACATCATTTTATGCTCTATATCTACTATTTAAATAAATCCAAGTAGATTAATAGTGAAAAAGTTACTAATACTGATATTCTGGGGCGTTCTTAAACCACAGATCATAGCTGTTTGTGTTCATCTACAGCTGGTATGTAACTTGCTTCCAGTCTATTTTCTAACAGACTGCTCTGCTGTTTCTTAACGCCTACAAATGATGACCCTTACGGCTGCATAGATGGGGGCCCACACGAAGAAAGTCAGAGATCCTAAACCACGTAGAAAAGTTGGAGGTTTTTGCACACTCCCTTTACCTAATCCAATTAGAACAAAGTTATAATCTGCTGGGGTTATTTTTTTTTCTTGGGGGGGTAATTATAGACTCAGACGGCTGTAGTCAAACTACAGCAGCACCTGTGAATGACTCATTTACCAGAAGCAAGGAAGTACTGAGTGCCTCTCTGAGCCGGATTCACCCACATACAGACGCAATTTAGGATCATTACTGTCAGATAATAAAATGCATCTGACTGCTTCGAATGAGGACTGAAATGAGGGATTTACATATTAAAGCCCGATCATACACAGTGTGTAATAAAACATCTGCTTGAGCTGGCTTTTGATCTGAAACAGATTTTTCTCCTTTCTCCGCCGTCCGGATGTTTCTCTGCCGCGGCACATCTGCGCTCCTGATCTTTAGCCCGCTCGCGTTGCGGAGCGGCGCGCATCAGTGTTGTTGTTTTCCCAGAAGGGGCCCGCTCACCTCTGTCGGTGTCGTAAAGATAGACGAACCTCTCCCACTTGTAATGGTCCAGCAGGCTGAGAATGGCTCCCCTCAAACTGGGCCTCATCTGGATGACAAACTGCACGTCGGCGTCGATGGGGAAGCTGGGCGTGATGAAGGAAGTGTGCAGGGCGCCGCAGAAGGAGGTCAGCGTGTTCATGGACTTGCGGTCGTAGAAGCCGAAGATGGCGTAGACTCCCCGGGAGAATTGGGAGCAGACTGGTGACACGGAGATAAAAAAAAAAAAAAACAGGGGCATATTCAGGTCAGAGGAAGAACGCAACCCTTGAAGTAACAGTTTTCATGTGAACGTTTGCATGGGAGTTGAAAATATTTAACATGAGGTCGTGATGAGTGTTAATCACGTGGATAAAGTAGCGAGTATCTGAATAAATGTTTGCCATGTGGGATGTCTGCTCCCTGTGGCCATGCTCTGCTGCCCACTGCCCTTCACTTCTCCTTCCTGCAAATGCTGCTGCTTGGGTAATCAGCTAGAAATAATAGGGAAGTCAGTGCTCTGGTCACATCTTTTAATGGACAAATTCTCTTGAAACATGAGCATGCAAATGTTCCAGCGCTGAGCAGCTCTGTGCCATAAAAGATTTATAACAAGGCCTATCAGTGGCCATCTGCGGGTCTCTGGAAACAAATTTCAGCCATAAAAACATCAGACACTGATTGACTTAAGAGTCATTAGCTATTTTGTTTTATTTGCACATGATAAATGGGAATAAAGACAGTAAAAACAGACCTCTGGGAAATGTAGTGAATGATATAATCTGCTGTTTTGTCCATAAATCTTAACACAACTCTGAAGCTGTCCGTAACATTAAATTGCTAAATGAAGTTATATACTGTAAACGGCTCATTAAGAGGAGTATTGTCTACATTCATTGTCCAATCAGTGTTAATAAAAGTTTGCGGAGGTGAGTTCACTCTGCCTACATGGGCTTTAAAGCTTGCCGGTGCTTATTAAAGACATTTATCATGTGTACTGTGACAATAACTGTGCTTTCATAGGTCTTTTGATGTGCATTTAACTGTTTTCTGGTCGGAAAACTGAGATGGGAATGTTCAGATAATCGCCTTTAAAAGGATTTTGAGCTGATAAGTGTATTTGTATCAAACCTCCCTGAGGAAATACTTTGCCGAACCACCGTTTGCGGCAGTTGTAGCTGATAAGTCTTTTGGAGTATGGCTCTATCAACTTCGGACATCTAGAGGATGAAATTTCAGCGCATTCTGTAAAAACACTCCAAACTCAGCTTGTGTTGACAGCACGCGAATCATCCATAAAACCTCACGCCAAATAGATTTAAAACTGATCCCTACCTGGGTGGTTTTAACATGTGATTATGCTTTGATCGAAACCATCGTATTGTAACTGGCTGAAAGCTTTGGGTAATAGTCCTGTCGGAAGATGAAGCTCCACTCTGATTTTCTTCCAGGATTTCCCTGCATTGAGCACCAATCATCATCCTTTTAAGTCTGGTCAACTCGTCTTGTTTCTGCCGAGGATAAACAGCCACGCTTCATAAGATCATATTTCATCATGGGGATGGTGCGCCGCCACACATGGAATTTTTAGATGTAGGCCAGTAAGTAAAATTTTGGACCAATCTGATCAGAGTATGTTTAGCCACGTTTGAAAAAGAACTGTGAACATTTTATTTTCTCGTGAAGCTAGGAAGCCCACTCTCCTGAAGGACTAATAAAATATTGCATTTCAGCTCATAAACATCAGCCGCCATGAGTAAATTCCTCTGATCCCAGCCTTAAATGAAGACACGCGTCATTTACTTTATCGTAGAGGGGATGCTGTGGTGTTTTTCTGCTCTGTGTGTTTCAGATCAGATTATTAGCATTGGATGTTTCTACGCATGACTAATATCCAGATGGAAAATGCTACCTCTTCTCACTTTTTTTTTTCTTCAACTCCCGTCTTATTCATCGCTGTGCAAACACCCACATCTGCCTGTCATTGTTGTTTTTTTTTTTTCTTTTCCTCCAGCTCTCTCCTTTCTCCCTCACCTTCTGTTTAGCTTCAGCTCTCGCCACCTTGTTAGGCGCAACTGGCAGATACAACATCCTTAGCAGCACCCCCGTTTTAAACACAACTTTGAACTCTGCTGCATGGATGTCTGAGCTTTTCAACGCATCAGCTAATGGAGGGATCCAACAACTGAACTCTGAAAGCTGCATTTCTGAACAGAGGCAGCGTTGGAGCTGTTGTGCTGGCCGGCGAGCTAGACGCAAGAACGAGGTCTGCGGGGAAAAAAAGCGGCATTAGGGAGCTGGGTAAAAAGGAAAGCACCAAGAAAGACGAGGAGGTGAAATTTTCTAGGACAGAATCGGCCAGTAGGTGCCAGAAGATTTAAAAGCTGAAACGCTTCCTTGAACACTGCAGCATTTTTTGTGATAACAGCTCTTTGTGTGTATTGATGCTTGGTGGGAAGGTATTGTTACACCTTGTAAGGGAGGACAGGAAACTAGCTGGTCTTTGGGCTGTTATGTATGAAATACAAAACTGTGAAAAAGTATCTTCCCACTAACAGAATTTCTCTTATTCTGTGTGAAAAAAAAAAAAGTCCCCCAGATCAACTTACGAGTTAAGCTGTCCTCCTCTATAAGAAGCAAAACACTTTCAGACTACAACACAAACATTACAGTGTTGGGAGAATCTTGAAATTATAGGGCTTTGATTTCCATTAGCTTGGATAAAAATCTTCCAAATAATTTAAATTTTGTCACAACATGCTGTCAAATATTTCACAAACTCTTAGGAATCACCAAAACTTTTTAGTGAAAAATGAGAAATGCCTTTGTTTTTGTTTGGTTAGTTTTTTTTATTTATTTATTTTTTATTTTTTGGGGGGGTTGTGGTGGTTTTGGGCTTTGGACTTCTTTACCTTTACAATGAATAACAGTGTGAGCTTAGCAATATCCGTGAAACAATTTTTATTTCCATTTGCTATATAACTAGTTGATTATTTGCATTAAAGACAGGGTGAACCTTAATATACTTTTAAAAAATTGTATAATTACATTTTTGGTGAATATTGAAACCACTTCTAATTAGGAAAGTTAATCAAGGAGTTTGCACAGCATATCTGCAAAATGAAATACTTGCAATTAAATTGCCTTTGGCAAACATTTTAGGGCTGAAATGCAGATTTAAATGCAAATCTGATTTGTAGGTTGGTGTGCTCACGGTTAACAAATAGGAAGAGTTTATTTCTATTTCTAACCTGTCGACCACCAATCCCAACAGAATAAGACCGCAGTGAGGGTTGGCAGAGTACACTAAACAGCAACGATGATGACGACAAGTCGTCCACCCTTTTTCAGTGAACAAACTGACTGCCAATGTATCTCACACTGTCCAAAACCATTTCAATTCGTTAGAATGACCCTCTGGTTCAGTTATGAGTGTTAAATCACATGGTCTGCAGTGCAGTCAAAATGTGACTCAGTGCAGCTAAAGGCAGAGGGCACATGGTTAACATGATATCTTTTTGGAATAACATTTAAGTGGTTTTATATGCTTAAACACATCACATTCTGCAATGTTGCACAATTTGTCTCAGATGACCAACCACATTGAAAGAATAGGGCGCATATAAAGTGAAGGCTGAGTAGGTGTTCCTCCTCAGGCGGTGCTGTTACATGCTGGCTGGAGTTCCCTCTTGTGAAACTACCTTCTCCCTCAGCGTGTGACTCCATGTATATACATAAGTGTTCATTATGCACTTAAAGAGAGCGGGGACAGTCGCTGCATAAACTCTGATGTGAAGAATACCACTAGATGCAGTCCACATGCTAAAGCGACATGACGGGGGGAAATCTACAGCGGTCGATGCATAATGTCGTAGCCTTGCCCTGCGGCCACCGGGGCGTTAAGAAGAGAAATAGACTCGAACATTTCACTGCATGAAGAAGCAACGCAAACCTTCCACCTACACATTCTTTACATAAACTGCAACATCATCCGAGGAGTGATTCAAGAAGAGACAAGAGAGGGGGAAAAAAAAACACTTAAGATGGCAAAAAAAAAAAAAAAAAAAACACTAAAAGTTTGTGAAGGATGAATAATTTTGCTTTAACACATGAGATAACAGTATGTGATGCACTGAGATCCTGTTTTTAATTCAAATGTTATGAATTGTTAATATTTTCTCTAAGGAAGGAGTATAAATCAACTGAATCTTTCGCAGCTCTTTATTAAAAAGGTTTTAATTTCAACTCAGCCACTTGAAATATGCTACTTCCCGTTGCACAATTTATCAGTATTTACACCAATACTTCAACCACTTTCATGACAATGCCCCAGCAGGAAATTAATTATCTGAATCAAATGCAGATAATCAGCCTGATAGAGGGAAAATAAAAAAAATAAAAATAAAATAAAAAAAATCGGTGTAATCTTCAAAACTACCTTCTACAAATTCACAAAAGCAGCTCTTTAAGGAGCTCCCTAAATTATTCACTGCACGGATATCATCTTTGGATTCCTCTCTTTGATACTACTCCGCGTGGCTCACGGCTTGTTGTCCCTGAATAATCCAAGGCAGCGTTGAATGAAAAAACAGAGATTTCAGCGGTCGAGGACATTGTGTAAGCCTGCAAACGAACTGCTGCAACATCACTGTAGCTTGTCAGTAGCGATCACTGTTGCTCTGTTACAGGGTTGACATGTAAGCACATTTGGATGCATGGAATGAAAGACTAACTGCACATCTCCAGAGGTTTGCCCCCGAAGCTATTCAAGACTATTCTGCCATTTCACAGCCTTATCTTTGCTTGGAGTTTAGTGACTGAGTTGGAGGAAAACTAGAAATGAGATTCGGAGTTGAGATAAACAGGCTGTGAGCTTGTTTGGATAGAAAAGTTGGGATTTAGCTGATAGCAGCAGCCTCACTCGGCTGTTATTTAAATGCAACTGCTGAAGTTAAGGACATTTACTTCCCTTTTCAAAGAAAGAAATGTATTTATGAGCACGATGGTGCATGAATCATGTCTCACCCTGCAGCGGTGGACGTTAAAAGTTCTTATTAAACTAAGGGTCAAACACTCTATTCATGTCGGTGAATACACTGCTTGGAGAATGATGTTGTGTGCGTGCGTTTTCTATTTCGAAACGGCACAACAAATCTAAGAACGACTGCTTTTCAATTCCTCGCAGTTCACCGAGCTGACAACCCACTGGCTGCAGCAGCTAA